GGTCCATTGATCACTAGAGATAATCAGAAGTGTTGGGTGGTAATATTTACATGTGCCGTGTATCGTGCATTCCACTTAGAAGTCATACAATCCCTCGACACAGAAGCCTTCATAAGAGCCTTACGACGGTTTATAGCTAGACGAGGCTTGATAAGTGTTATCTATTCAGATAATGGCACAAATTTTGTTAGTTTAAACAAGAATCTGAAGTCTCTGAACTGGACTGAAATCCAAAATACATTCAGCCTCAATGCAATTGTGTGGAAGTTCATTCTTCCTGCAAGTCCTTGGTGGGGAGGATTTTGGGAAAGACTTATAAGGATCCTAAAAGGACTCCTCCGGAGGAATTTGGGGAATTCATCTCTCACATACGAAGAAATAAACACCCTAGTATGTGAATGTGAGGGAATAATGAACAGAAGACCACTAACATACGTCTCAGAGGAGACGGGAGACTTAAGACCTCTGACTCCATCTATGTTTCCATAAAGCATTGTGGGAAATGAAGTCACGGACTTGGTCATCCTAGAGAGAATCAGTTTGAAAACAAGATGGTGATATATTCAAAGTCTAAGAGACAATATGAACTCCCGTTTCAAAAAAGAGTATTTGGTGTTCCTGAAATCGTCCAACAAGTTAAAATCCGACGATATTAAAGTTGGAGACGTGGTATTGGTTCAAATTGAAGACAGAAGAAGAATTACTTGGCCTTTGGGTATTGTAATAAAACTGTTCCCAGGGAAAGACGGCAAAGTTTGGTTGGTACAAGTAAAAACTAAAAAGGGTTTAATACTAAGACCCATACAACGACTGTACCCACTAGAAGTTACCGGAGAAGGACTGAATGAAGACTTCTTATTTTGCGACCTCGCAAAAAAAGGGGGAGTGTGTTATAAAATGTAATATTGTTATATAATTCAATATTATCTTCTTTATAAGATATGATATATTAACAGATGTTTAATTATGATAGTTAAACATCTGTTAATATATCATATCTTTACAAAGAGGATAATATTGAATTATATAACAATATTACATTTTATAACAACAATCGTTGACGACACCATGAAATGTTGAACGATGGAAAGGAATGCTAATCACTTGTTAATGTCGTCATGTGCAGAGGCTAGAGACAGATTCGCTACAATGGTGTTGGTAAAGATTATACTGCATTTCCTTCTCGCTTCTACGAGTAGCACACCTGGAGCTAAGCTATAGCTGGGTTGTCATCATGAACAGTATAACAAAATATATACAGGTGTCTTTCATGCTGTATATAGGATATTAAGGGTTTAGTTGAAACGAAATCTTTAAAAAAACAAATAATGCTAAGGTAGTTTTTTTTTTAAAACATTAAAGGCCAAATTGGAACTAATAAAAATGCGTGATTAAAATAGTACAATACTGAGATTGTTTAATCTGATTTGGTATAATTCCATGGTAAATATCATCCGTGTTTCTATACTACTATAATGTTACAACTATATTCTATACTATAAGGGTTACTATAAGTTGATAATTTCACGGAATTAATTGACACTAAACTTTTGTTTTTAAGATGGGCAAATTTGTAAAATAATCAGTTTGAGAAAACAACATTGTTTTTAAAGATTTTCAAATTTAATGTATGAAAATAACAGAAAAGTAAGTGAAAAGTTTGCTGGTTGTACAGACTAAATTTTATAATATGTGAAGTCTCTTAAGAACCGATAAATTGTTATGATAAAAAAAATATTATGCTACAATTTGAAAATGTTTATTGCAATTTTTTATATAATTTTGCTACTTCAAAATATTGTACAGTACAGTACCACATTTGTTTAATTCAAATGTTGACAATTTAATTTGTAACACATTCAAATGTTGAAGTTATTTCGGACGAAAATATTTTAAACCTAGATGGGATTCTCATATTAGTTTTATAAAAAATCAATGTAAAATTTCCCTAGGTTTAAGTTAGTTTATAATACAACAAGAACATCCTGTTTTGTTAAGCTTGCGAGAAAACTGCAAGATAAACACCCCTGTAGACTAATGAAGCTTCTTGAAAGATCTTTTTATTCCGAATTTAAATGTAAGCGCTATCATCGCTGATAATAATCGTGAACATGTTTGATAAATTTTCAATTTTTAAAACCTTTTTATGTTACTAAATTATTTTAATAATTTTTTACTAAAGAACAATAAATAGAACGTGATTTTAAATACCTCTTTAATGGTTCGCTGAACGTAAGCTTTGGTAAGTAAGCAACATAAATGTTTGCTCTCGAGATGACCTGTCATGAGATGCCAACACTTCAGACTGGCCGAACACCTAAGAATACCTTTCGTATCATCTTACATTTCAGTGTTTATACAAACAATATTTTAATATTTCTCTGACTGGATGATATAGGTCTAATGTAAATAATGGCTAATTTCACATATTTCAATAAATAACTAAATGTTTGCTTGATTTGGTTGCCAGTGTTGATGTTCACATAAAAAAATGTGTACTGTATATAAGGGTTCCATAAAGTAAATTATCAGTTTGTAAGATACAAATTTTTTGTACATTCCAAAAATTTGGTGTGCTTACTTTTGTATTAGTTTTATCATTTTCTCAGCTTAACTTTACATAAATATTAATGTAGTAAATTAAAACCACTGAGCACCCAGAAATTACTTCATGCAGTGACATGTTTCGGACTTGGTCGACTTTCAAACACTAATAAATACTAAATACCTAATGTTTTTACAATACAGGGTTAGTGCTGATATAATATGAATTAACAGATGATTTTAAAAAAGAAACATGATTTGGAAATTGTTTAACAACTATTGATTATCTAATTGTAAATGTTTGTCAAAATAGGATTTCTTGGAGGAATTTGGCCATATGTACAGATAGAAAAACTCGAAGTTTTTTGGTGATATTTAATAAATCTCAATATGGCCACTGATTAATGCTATGCTTAATAAACATTTAGTACATCGCACACATTTGCTGCATTTTCAGGGATGGCATTAACATTGCATGGGTAATGCTGGCAGAGCCTTAAACAGTGGCCATATTGATAATACTGAATATCACCAAAACATTTTCGAGTTCTGCTACCATGTAGATAACATTTTGTGAAAAAAATGTACGTTAAAATGTGTCAGTTCTTTTTAGATCACCCTGTAAAAAATTGATTTTATATAATGAACGTATCTTATATGATATTCCTTTCAAAACACTGTAATAAACCACTTACATATTACAGGGATAATATAATACATATATGAAAAAGGTGCAAGCGTTGATAAAGATATTCTAGAATGCCTTGCTAGTTTATATTCAAATCAACTTGGTTTCGTCGAGAGAACTTATAATGTGGTAATACACATGCATGTTGTCATTTCCCACTTTTGAATTCACAAAACATAAAACTCATAAATGATCACCTGAACGAATTAAGATATAAGATAAACATAAATATGTTTAACATAAAAACCAGTATAATTTCTAAATCAAAGCTAGATAATACCTTGTTTTGAATTATTTGTTGGTGATGTTTTTATTATTATTTAACAAGTATTCACCACAGTGAATACAAAATGATGATTCATTTCATTTATTTCGCATTTAAGTCTTACATACATCTCTAGTGTTGGAGCATATAATATGTTTTGCGGGTCAAAAAATAGGGAAAATTGATCCAAACAAAGATCATTGTGAATATTTGTCAGTAAACGATAACCTTGTTTTTCAATGTTTTTGCAACACCATCTCAATCAACGTTTATCAGTTTCAGCTCAGTTGGACTCTGGTTAATTTGCCAAACAAAGAGTTTTTATAAACCGCTACACAAAGGTGTCAAACGTGAATGTTTGGAGCGTTTAGCTTTTGTTGTAAATACATTTAGTTTTCATCCAGTTAATGGTAAAATGTGACTTTATTAAAAAACCAGCATTGATTATGAGAAATTATTTGCAGTATTTCTTTAAGTCTTCTATCTGTTTAAGTTTTAGTTTAGGTAAAATAATTTGTATAAGCATAATTTGGTATACACTAAAATACAGTGCACTTTGCAGCTTACACTGTCTTAACCTAGAAGTTTTGAAGTATATATTGGAAAAATAATTGTGAGTGAAAGAATAAAGTTGTTAGATACAAATACGCCAAACCTAATCGTACACATAATATTTTCTTCTAATGACAAAACTGATGAATAAGTTGGCACTCTGGACCAAAACACAACATAATCCTTTATTTAAATTAACATTTTTAATTATTGCGTGCTCATAATTAATAAGGGGCGGGGAGTTAAAATCGAAGAGAATTGAGTTCAGAGGAGAGGAAGACACCCTTGAAAATTGCTGACGAAGACACAACGCCTTCACGGTGCTAAACTGGCAATCTTTTAAACTAATCACCAGGGAGACATTGTCACTGTTAAATTATAACCTTTGTTCAGGGGTGTCAGTTTCAAATCTACTTCAGAAACAGTCAAATTATTTCAAATAATCAATGACTTAATAAAGAATGACAATAATAAATTTAAGTCTTAGTTATCCACAACATACTGTATTAATTATTACAAATAAATGTGCAACTGATTTTTTTTGTGTGTTTTGACTTTTTTGTATATTATTGCTATTGGGTAAGGCAGGAAAACAAATGTTCTGAAAAAAATTTAAAATTTTAAAGCCTAGGACCTATAGTTATCGTCATGACATAAATAATGTTCCTTTGCTAAAGGTTAGGGTAAATCAGTATAGAGTTTATTTAGTATTTGTCCAAAATACCTGCACGTTTTAGCTGGTAAAGGGACCCATGCCGATGGTTCAAGCCTTTGGGGATACTGCAGTATCGAATTCACGATTTTAGCAACGTTACTCGGGTTTATGTTGAAATGACTTTCGCGTTCACCAATATACCACCTGCGCCTTAGATAGAATGATTCAAAAAATAAATACCACTAAAATAATCATGTAACAACATAAAACAAGATGTTTGTAGCATTGATACTCACGTGTAAGCCTGTACATGGATAATGAGAAGCAAGCCCAGTGGAGATAGACCCAACTTCATCTGCAGCCTGAACTGAAAATAAAAAAAAATAGAGACCGGACTGACTATATAGCCCAGAACTGTAAGTACAATGCTAAATATAATCTAAAACTGAACATACTAGTACAGTGATATACGACCAAAATCATTCTACAGTATTGCAACTACTGTTTATAAAGTAAATATTAGTAACAAGTTAGTTGACAGAAACAGTATAAATGATTACCACGGGTTTGTTCCCACTACCAAACATTACTGTTTCATCTGGTTTGATGGCGAATGGCTCTAAATGTTTTACGGCTTTCAGCTCGTTACCTGATTCCCACTTTATTTATGACTTCATTGTTGTATCAATTATGTTCAAATTTGTTTTAAGTGTTAAGAAGTTGACCAATGTGGCAAATATGTGGGATCTTAAAGCATTTTTTAAGCTTTTACATTTGTTAAAAATATCAAAAGATAGACACTACAAATGTTAGTATTAGAAGGGTCCATTTAAATTGGTCAATGCAACAAGAATAATAATAGACATGTGTTAAACAAAGAGAATAAATAAACCCTTGTCAAATAAGATGTGTAATGTCTGGAATTACTCTTTGTAAATTTAATTAATCAGCTGACTTTGAAATTAAGTATGTTTATTATTTTTGTTCTCTGTCGTTTTTCTGATGCTGAGCCAAATACAATGTTTTTTTTAATGTTCCTGAGTTTTTATATTTTATTAGTGATTTTGAATAATTAATTTAGTACAAAACCTAATGTAATCGTAACTAGAATAGTTAATAAGTAAATAGAACAGTAACTAATGTAAAATAAACTAGAATTTATTAAACATAAAGCAGTGCTTCAAATGCTAAGTTTCTTTGGGAGCGACATTTGAGCCAGACTGGACATATCAGTTGACAAATAGAAGCTGTAAGAACTACCAAATTATTTTATTACAAAAAGTTATTTTATTTTATCATTAGTTGTAATAGCTTTCTTCTGTAAGGGTTCAATTTAAAATCAAGTTACACATCACATAGCCACATTTACTTATTCCTAAGTTATTATTATTCACCGCATAATTAATTTAGTACAAAACATAATGTAATCATAACTAGAATAGTTAATAAGTAAATAGAACAGTAAGTAATGTAAAATAAATCAAGAATTTATTAAACATAAAGCAGTGCATCAAACGTTTCTTCGGGAGCGACATTTGAGCCAAACTGGACATATCAGTTGACAAATAGCAGCTGTAAGAACTACCAAATTATTTTGTTACAATTTATCATTAGTTATAATTGTTTTTTTCGAAGGGTTCAATTCGAAAACAGGTCACACATCACATAGCCACATTTACTTTTCTAAGGCTAGGCGCACACGAGCGATTATTTTGAGGCGATTATTACATCGGCCGATCTGTGCATCATGTATTTGAATGGAAGCGCGCACACAGGCGATCGAGAATTGCGCCGATTTTAAAATCAGGGTTTTGCCACAGATTCGTAGGCGAGGCGATTGTCGCCCGAAAATCTGTAACGTCGACTAAAAAATCGGCCAGTCGCTTGTTGTTCTCCACAGGAGTCAGGCCTAGCGCACACGGTCGATTTTTCGATCGGCCGATTAAAAAATCGGCCAAAAATAAATCGCTCTTGATTTATGTCCAGGCGCACACGTGGCGATTTTTTAGTCGAGAAATTGATTTTTTTTAAGTGTGTTTAAGCTATCCCAAAATGGACTTTGTTGAATTAACCTGTGTTTGTGCTCTTCTAATTACACCAAAGAAAAAAGAAGACAGTTTAAATATTGGGTTCATCCGATAGTAAGTCAGAGACTTTTAAATCGACAGTTTTATAAACTATACACTGTACGTGATGACAGTAAAAAGTTCTTTAATTGCCGTAGAAAGTCCGTTGAAAGTTTCAGTTTTTATTATAACAGCTGTGGCCTATTTTTAGCAAAGAAAACAACACAACTCACACTGAAGAAAATTAAGGGCGATTTATTTTTGGCCGATTTTTTAATCGGCTGATCGAAAAATCGACCGTGTGCGCCAGGCCTAAGTTATTATTATTCACCGCTTGATACGTTGAACTAGTGTTATAAATCACCATTAAACCTTTATGACAAAATGACAACTAGGCAAATAGTGGATTATTTTCATGATGGAACCAGCTATCTTCAATTTTAAGTGCGGAACTATGTACCCACTACACCACCTTCTGACCTTTCGACCTTGATATGTTTCATTTTACCTTTTTGAGACAGCATTGAGTGTGTCTAACATCATCTATTGTGCCTAACCTATTGTCTGGCATACTGTTGAACTATTCTAATATTAATACATCGAAACCCACTTTATTCATACTTAAAGTAGGGTAATACAGTTCCACAGAGAAACTACGATTATTATTTTATAGGATGAAAAATCATTTCGATATATTTTTGTATATCATTTCCCCCCGATATAATATCTATTGTATGCATGAAATTTGAATATTTAAGCCATAAGGTATTTTAAAGACATTTCTTTCACACTAAGCAACAGCGATTATTTTTAGCTTCTACAAAAATTAGTTTAGGCCTACTTTAGGTTATCTTAGTTTAATTTATGATAAAAACAAAAAAGGTAGACCTAACATTTGTAAAACAGTTGATATTCATACATAATTCTACTACATAATTAACTACATAATTCTATGTAGCCTAATTTAATAAATTTTCAAGGACGTTAATTTGTATTTATTTCCTCTTTTATCATGAATTTGTTAAGAAGACAAATTTTTGTACTACCTTGTTAGTCATCATCATAAACTGATTTCCAATCTAACTTAAACGCAGCAGCGCATTTGTGGCGATCAACCCTCTTCTTGAAAATACCCTTAACAATAGCAGAAAATCAATATTTACATTCCATATTTTTATCGAATGAAATATTTTAATCGAAATCAATATAAGATAACAATTTTATCAAATAGTTGTGATATAATATTGCAGTTATACTATAATTAGTTAGTATAATATCTTTCTCTGCGAAACCGTACCCAATATTTTTTTATGTTTTAGAAGATTGCTTAGGTACTCATTCAAAGATTTTTAAAAAATTATCTTTTGACCAACATTTTTTCAAGAGAAAATTTGGAAATAGTTTTAGTACCAAAATATTGCAATTATTTGTAAGTTAAATAGTTTCAATGTGACATCGTTGTCGTAGTTTGATAATTATAATAAAGTTATAACAACTGGCCCTATTTGACACGTCGTCAAGCCACAACATTCCGTTACAATTGTTACAACTCGGTGACAATGTGATTTAATATCAAACTTTGCTTGGTCAGCTCATCCTCATCCGCTTGTTACGGTGAAATACCTTTAAAGCCAGTAAAATTAGTTACAAATATAATTGCTTGGAGTTTTGTGGTACAAAAAGTGTTTTGACCCTGTTAATTTTTGATGTAGCTATTTTGAAAATTTTTCGTTAAATTTGGCAAAAAGTTATGTTTTAAGAGTTGAGAAGGTTGGACTTAAACTTTAGAATTTTATTTAGGGTGGGTTAAACGATTGTAGACCGCAAGATGTTAGACAGTTGGGATACCTGTATCCTCCAACTGAATTTTCTGTTTACTGTTAGATGGGATGTGTTCTCCAGATATTTTAACGGCGATCATAATAAGTCAACATCACAACTCTAGTGGAGACTTAAACCTCGTCGACGACTTTTGTAACTAAGTCGATCAGTCATTCTCCCTGCAAACTATACTTATTCCGGGTTGGAAATTTTACTCTTAGCACTACCCTCCTTATTTTAAATATAAATAATGTTAGTTGCATTAGGCATATTTTAAAACTAAGTTTATTGTCTAAAGTAAACATTACATAGGTTAAATGTGAGAGGAATACATCTCTTTTGATTTAACATTGATTTATAACATCTTCATTGAAAATTATGATAAAATCAGCAATCTGGCACATACTCCCATTAGTCTATCAACAATCCTTATCATGTGCAAGCGGCGGTAACAATTATGATAATTTATAGGAAAAACCACAAGAATTGCAATAAAATTTGAAAAAAAAAACATTTTATAGCATAAGGGGTTGTATAATATTATTTAAGGGTGAAAGGGCCATAACATACCCAGTTTTAACAAAATGGTTCCGGCTTCTATCGTAAAAAAATATTTTAACTAAGGTCATATACGTATCATATATATTTACAACGTGTCTTTATGTGCACACACTAAGCTTACACGAACATTGTAATGCACATTAAACCAACCATAGAACATTGGCATAGAGGCTAATTTGAATCATCTTCACTTCAGGGGTCTGTGCAACCTGGTATGCACTATGGAGTTACATGAGTTGAAGTAGATCAAAACAAGTAAAAATATTTGTCATTTATTTCCTCTTAGTTATATTATGAAATATATTTTGTTCCAATTAGGAATGCAATTCGTTCGATCCACTCTTAAGTTCAAGTATAAATAAAGTGATTAAAATATCATGACTTTGGTTAGCTATACTGACCCTTAAATTTTGAGCAAAAGTCCCTTTACAAAATTTATAAGGAAATGAGGTAACAAAAGACCGTTTAAAATCATTAAAATGTTAAATTTTCACGCTCTATCAAATACAAAGGTACCAAAACATCACCTCAAATTATATATTCTACTTTTAAGTAGTAACCTTGCCTAAAACTACATTGTTTTTCATTAGAAATAGATTTCAAAACCATACAAAAATAATTAACGGGATAGATTTGCTTTTGACATTATCTGATTGATAGCCTAATGACAGGTGTAGTTATTTCCAACAATTAAAAATGACACGTGGTATCTGGGTCTCGAAACGTTCTCGCTTGGATTTGAACCAGCGACCTTCAAATATGAAACCATGCGCTATAACCACTTCATAGTGAACACCGCAAAGGGATTGATAAATTAATTATACATTAATTGATTGAGGGTACCATTCAATCAGCAATACTTTCAGCATTATCCGCAACAGGAACTAGTAATTTTCGCCTAATTTTGGCAAACA